AGTCTTATTTTCAGATTTAAAAAAAAAAAAAAATTATAATTTGGTGTCCTGTGCATTATAGTGCACTTCTGATAATAAGGTATAAATAGTGATTATTAACTGATCAAATTAGTTAAATTTTTTTTAATGCATTATTTAGTCATTTACTTTTACTAATATTTTTTTTAATATCAGATTTTGGTTATTTTATTATTATCAGATCTTTTACTTAAAATTATTGTTATTATTGTTACTAGAGCTGTTATTATTTGAGTTAGTGTTGTAGTTTTAACTCATCATTGGTGCCTTAATAAATTGTAGATTACAGTTGTTAGTAGAAATTTGTGTTGTTATAAGTATATTGTTTAAGTGTTGCTTTTTCTGTATTGGTATTGTTAGTTTTTTTGTTTTTATTGCTTATAAATATATTACTAACACTTTGTCTTGTTTTTAAGTTTTTTAGAATGCTTCTAAACTTTTTTAAATTTGTAAAGCATATAATATATGAATTTAGGTTATTTAGTTTATTTTTATTGCTTTTGTCTTGTGAACATGTTATTATCATTTTTTATTTTTTATAGATTTTAAAAACTGGTTTATAGTTACTATTTCTTCATTAATATTGAATTATAGAACTCTTTTTTTAGACATTTTTAAAGTATTTCAGAAAATGTGATGTTGAATAAGTTTTTTGAGAATTCCAGAAAGTATGATTCAGTTTGCTTGTAGTTTTTATTATTTTGGTTTATAACTATAGTACTAACACTACTTCTTTTAGATATTAAAACCTTTCTTAAAAATTTTAAGACATATAATTTTATTTGTTTGCAGTTTTTGTTTTTTTTGTTGTAAATGTGTTACTAACATTCTTGTTTTTTTTTTGATATTGTGAAAAACATTATTAGTTTAGTTATTAATAAAGATGTTATTAGTAAACTTAACATTATTGGTGCTGTCATTAGTAAAGGTGCTGTTAATGTAATTAATGTTATTAGTGCTGTTATTAATAGAAATGCCATTAATAAAGTTAACATTGTTGATGCCATCATTAATAAAAAT